CGTCGCTTCGGTAGGGTCCCGGGTGGCCTCGCTCATGGCTCACTAGGCCTGCCTGACTCAGGCAATCGCGACCGCATGTGCTACAGCAACATTCGCCCGATGTAGATGGAGTACAACCCGTCGGTGCTTGCCGCTTCCACGCTTGCGGCTTCTTCTCTGCACGCACGATGTCTTTCTCCTGCACTTCGGCCAATGCCTTCATGATCAAATCGCGTCATGTACGCCAAGGGATAACCATCGATTCCCATGACCTGCAATCAAGATTAGAATGTGAGAGGCTCACTTTGATCATGTCTTGGTAACGTAAGTCTGCTTTCCTCCCATGTCGCTTTCCAGTACTCAGTTGACCATGTAAGAGTTATTTCGGTATCCGCATCGAATCCATACGGCTCACATGACCGAGCCTCCTTAGGTTTCGCAGAATAAGTATGCAGTCAACTGCATACATCCCACTTCGTCGCCATACTTCCGTGTCCGCAAATCTGTCGCCACAACCGATGCGCGAAATCAGTCGCAAACAGTGATGATGGAACCGCTCGAGATATCGCACATCCCGCCGGTACATCGTCCACGTTTCACTGCCGTATAGAAGAACGGACAGCACCATGGATTTGTACACCATCAGCTTCGTGCCAATGATAAGCTGATGATCGTTCCACACCCGGTACTCAAGCTTCGCGAATGCCGCCGCTGCCTTCGACACGCGAATACGCAGCGCACTGTGTAGCTGCTGATCAGTGGACATCACCCTCCCAAGGTAGCAGAGGTGGGAGGTCGTTTCCAATACTTCAGCACCAATGCTGATTCGCGGCAATATTGACGATTGCACCTCCGGTGAAGGCTGAACGAGACAGACAGTTTTACTTGTGTTGATGGTGAGCCCGAATTTTGCCGCTGTCGAGGTCATGTGCTGCAACTCATCCGCGGTGTGCGTAAACAACGCACAGTCGTCAGCAAACAGCAACATAAGGATGGTTGTCTCACAGACTAGGGTTCTCGCACCGAAAGACGAATGTACAGCAACCCACCATCAATACGGTACTCCACACGGACATCGTAATCATATGCCGCATCAAAAGCACATCATTGCCTGAAGATAGATATTAAACAGGGCAAGAGCTAAGACGCAGCCTTGCTTCACACCAGAGACAACTGCAAAGTCATCCGAGGTCTATCCACCCAGCTGCACCCTCGCCCGCATACCACTCTGCAGACATTTAATTAATCTTACAAACTTACTCGGACAACCAAGCTTACTCCGCACCAGCTACAATGCCTCACCGTTTTCCGTATCAAATGCTCTGCTGAAATCAACAAACAGTGAGTAAAACGGCTGGTGTGAGGTCATTCAATGTAGACCGGTTGATCTCTGAGCGGTTGTTCAAGAGACAGTCAAAGTGTTTCCGCCAGACCTGCATTATGTCTGTAGTCTGGGTGCAGGTAGCGCCTGAACTACCATCGATCAGTGTCCTCAGCGGATCCAATCTAGGTCCATACGCCGCCTTCAAGGAGTCAAAGAATTCCTTGTGTTGGCGGCGTTCAACGTGGCATTCCATCTGCTTCGCCTTCACCGGCAACCATGTAATTTTTAATGCGACGGAGTTCTCGGGTCTGTCGCCGTCGAAGTTTGCGCAACTGACTACTCTTCCCCAAGTCACTGGGGTCTGCCACATGTGCAGCAAATGCCGCATTCTTCTCACACACCAATGCGTCAATCGCCGCATTGTTCTCATCAAATCAATCAGACCGCTTACAGTTTGCGCGCCCCCTGGTCTCCCCGGCAGCAGCTGTCACCTGGTCGCGAATGTGCTGCCACAGGTCGCCCACTGTGGCTATGCAGTCCACATCACACAGGCCTGCAGCCATCGCCTTCACCAGCTCAATAGATTTTGCCAAGGTACTGAGGGGAGAGAATGTTAAACTTACGCCGATGCACGGCGGGAGTGCAATACATAGATTTACGGCAATATATGTACAGTTTGGTCCGCACCAAATGCTGGTCAGTGCCACACTCAAATCCGCGCAGTACACGTGTCATGCGCACTTCACGCATATGACGCTGACGTACGATGACATAGTCGAGCAGGTGAGCGTGATCACCCCGTATGTGCGTCCAAGTTGCTATATCACTCGCACTCAGTACAACCCAAATGTTCGTGATCGTCAGGCCGTGAGTGGCACACGGACAGAGCAGCCTGTCACCGTTCGCATTCGCTGAACCAATGCCATACGGACCGATAACATCTGTCCACACCGATGCATCACGCCCAACGCGCGCGTTGCAATCACCCAGCAGAAATAGTCGGTCGCGCCTCGGCACAGATCGTAGCACGGAGGATAGCTGAGTGTAACATTGATCACGCACGTCATTAGGATAATACATGGTCGGACCGTATGTGCTTGTAAAAGTGGCAAACCCACCTCTTCCGAGTCGTAGGCAAACAGCCATCAGTCGGGCGCTGATGCCCGTTGGTTCACCCACCAGCTGGCCATGGAGGCGATCGGATATTGCAAATCCGACCCCATGTTCACGTGGTGCTGAGGCTGCGTTGCTCACCCAGTAGAATGTGTAGCCAGCACTTGCTTCATGCAACTTACCTTGCTCAGCGAGCCGGGTTTCACTGATCCTCACACTCTATAATACTCTCATCACCCAATCTCCCCTATACATCTTACCTACTTTCTCACTTACTTACACCTTACCCTAACTATATCTCCCTAACCTCCCCCTATCATACATATTAAATCTTCCTTCACTCAATACCAATCATTTCCCAACTCACTCCTTATATTTCTATATCAATTTTAAATCAATATTTCCACCCCCCTTCTCCAAATTACAACTCATCCCCCCCCCTATTCTATCCTAACCATCACTTACACATATCAATCCTCTCCTCAATTTTCACATAATTCCTTCTACCCCCTCTCAAATCTTAACATTCCCCTAAACACCACATAAATCTCCCTACCAATTCACCTCCCCATCTCCCCCTTCCCTCCTCCTTATTTAAAAATTCTTTAAATCCCCCCAAATCCCCTTTTCATCCATTCAATCTTCTTTCCTACTCCCCCCCCAATCCCCCCCTTCTTATACCACCCCCTACCTCTCCCCCATCTATTCCACTATCACACCTCCCACTCTCCAATCTCCACACCCCCTACCCCATAATACACCCCATTCACTTAAAACCTTCCTATTTCCCCCACTCCCCCAACCACCCACCTACATCTAATTCCACTTCAACCATCCTTTCTCCCCCCCATCCCTTCTCCCCTCCATTAACCACCTCCCCACTCAACTCAACTCCATACCCTCTACCATACTTTAACACCCCCCACTACCTAACCCATCCACCATCTTCAATTATACAATCACAACTCCTTCTCTCCTTTCTACCCCCCACCACCCCCCCTCTTATACCCCGTCTTCCTTCTACCTTCACCCTCTCCCCATTCCACCCCTACACCTCCTATTTTCCCAATACCTCACACTCCCCCCACCCTCCCCTCCTCTCCCCCCACTTAAATCCCCACACACCAACACACATACATCCTACCTACCTCCCCCACAAAACACCACCTATCCCTATACCCCCATCTCACACTAACAACATTCACCAAAAATACAACCAACCAAACCCATTTATAAAAAAAAAAAAAAAATTTTTATATAATCCCCCCCAACATATATTTTACCTCCCCTATTTATTTTTTTTAAACCTCCCCCCCCCCCCCCCCCCCCTTTTTTTTTTTTTTTCTTAACCCCCCTCCCCCCCCCCCCCCCACTTGGTGTGGGTGTGCCGGGAGGTTTACCTGCGGGGGGTGTGTGTGTTGTGTGGGGGGGTTTCCCACTTGTTTTATGCGCAAATGTAATGTTCATATATACTACTTGTAGGTAGTTAGTAACGAAGTTACACTATGAGCAAGGAATCTGCTGTAGCTGTTACTGTTGTGAACGAAAATCACATACAATAGCCGAAGTATGGAGATCATCGGTGGGTGAGTTAATTCACAGCCCATTGAACGGCAGGCGTTCGTGACACCAGGGACGAGCAAGTCCATGCTAACTGCGAATGAATTAGGTTGCATAAGACGTTAATTGCGCTGACGGCACGACGGCGAAGTTCAACTGAACGATTGTGTTGGCAGCGGAAATATTTTATGTACGTGAAGGTTTTTGTGTGTTAGCAACTTCCTTGAGTGTAAAGAAACCGAAGACGAAATGATGAGTTGTTCTGTTGTGACTGCGGACAACTTCAGCTAGAGGTCATCCTTCTACGGCTATAAGGGCTCTGGTGAACAGTCTTCCATCTCCCCACCACTTCACCCTGTTCCTTTGTCGTGCTGTAATCAAAAGATATGAATTTCAAGGCAGTGTATCGCCTCTAGTTCAGAGAAATTTGGCTACTAAGTCAATCATTGCGCCCACTAAAATTATCACATGTCGGCGGTGTATCGGGGGGGGGGGGGTTGGGTCAGTTCATTAGTGCTGTTTTTACCAACGAAGTAGGCAGTTAGTCAGTTACCTAATAGCAAAGTATTTTCTAACGCGTGAGTTTGTCAAAGCAGTAGACGACCAGGGTTCAAGCGTATAATAGCTTCGCAACTGCAGCTGCCCTTGCCATGCCGATTAGATAGTGTGTACGCCGTGGCAAGCGGGGTGCGGATATTCGACCTTATATGTTACCGGCTGACATCGCCGGGATAACTTAGTCAGTGTTTGACCTTGTCGAAATCAACAGTAAACGCGCTAGCTAGACTTAAAAAACACCACAATTAATACGCCACAATACATAAAATGGTAACAAACATGCAATAGAAGCAGGTCAGCTGAGTCATCAGTAACGGATGTGCGTCGTTGCGGAGAGCTACCGGCCCTCTTTTGCGCCGCAGTAAAAAGAATTATATTATGCCTAAGAAATGAGATTATGGTTGGCGGAGGCGGCTAAGCGGGCGAAGAATTAAGTGTGGTGGGGGGTGGTGTGGGTGGTGGGGTGATGGGTGGTGGGGGTGGGTGGGGGTGGTGGTGGGGTTGGTGGGGTGGGTGGGGGGGTGGTGGGGGGGGTGGGTGGTGGTGGGGGGGGTGGTGGGGTGGGGGGGTGGTGGTGTGGGGGTGGGTGGTGGTGGGGGGTGTTGGGGGTGGGTGTGGGGGGTGGGGGTGGGGGTGGGGTGGGTGGTGTGGTGGGGTGGGGGGGTGGGGGTGGGGGTGGTTGGGGTGTGGGGGGGGGTGGGTGGGGGTGGGTGGTGGGGGGTGGGTGGGGGGTGGGTGGGTGGGGTGTGGGGGTGGGGGTGGGGTGGGGGGGGTGGGGGGGGTGGGTTGGGGTGGGGTGGGGTGGGGGGGTGGGGGGGTTGGGTGGGGGGGTGTGGGGTGGGGGGGTGGGGTGTTGTGGGGGGGGTTGGTGGGGTTGGGTGTTGGGGGGTGGGTGGGGTGGTGGGTGGTTGTGGTGGGTGGGGTGGGTTGTGTGTGGGTTTGTGGGGTGGTTGGGTGGGTGGTGGGGGGTGGTGGGGGGGTGTGGTGTGGTGGGGGGTTGGGTTGTTGTTGGGGTTGGTTTTGGTGGGTTATGTGTGCTCTAGGGGTGCCGAAGTATCGGCTGTTCGGACAGGCCCCCTTCTGCCGTTGCGGTCGTTTTCGCTTGCCAGGCTCCGTCGGCGAGGCATCGAGTTCATTAGTGCTGTTTTTACCAACGAAGTAGGCAGTTAGTCAGTTACCTAATAGCAAAGTATTTTCTAACGCGTGAGTTTGTCAAAGCAGTAGACGACCAGAGTTCAAGCGTATAATAGCTTCGCAACTGCAGCTGCCCTTGCCATGCCGATTAGATAGTGTGTACGCCGTGGCAAGCGGGTGCGGATATTCGACCTTATATGTTACCGGCTGACATCGCCGGGATAACTTAGTCAGTGTTTGACCTAGTCGAAATCAACATTATACGCGCTAGCTAGACTTAAAAAACACCACAATTAATACGCCACAATATATTAAAAGTGGTAACAAAAATGCGATAGAAGCAATTCAGCTGAGTCATCAGTAACGGATGTGTGTCGTTGCGGAGAGCTACCGGCCCTCTTTTGCGCCGCAGTAAAAAGAATTATATTATGCCTAAGAAATGAGATTATGGTTGGCGGAGGCGGCTAAGCGGGCGAAGAAGTAACAAAGTAATTCACAACACAAAAGCCAATGTGGTCGGCTCCATTCATGTCATCAAGTGTATCCAGCAAAAACGTGGTCGTCGTTTAGTGGACCCCAACAAAGGAGCTGAGAGGCCCCAATCGAGGTTAACTTCGAACTAATGGATTCCATTCTTGTTGACTAAGTAATCTCTTCATCCTTGTCGAAACAACTACTTACACTTGAACCGTAAGGACTAGGCGAAATTCTCATGCCGAACACAAACAACAAACAGATCTGAATGATATTTACATATGAAGAAACCGATGACAACGTAGAAGCACAAAAATCAGAGCACAAAATTTTGGATTACCTTCTGGTCCTTTCGTTGCAGTGGAAATAACGCTAGCGGGCACTTGACATGCTGATTATTCGAGATGACAGCTAAGCGGGATTAACAAGTAAATATCTATACCCGAATTGCTCATAACGCCTTTCCGCGCAACTTACGAAATCTCTGGAACTAGCACGAAATCGCATGCAAATGTTCCATCAAAATGCTACTGAGCACTGATTCACTAGCAGTAGCATAAATGCGTTTCCAGTATACACCCGTGACTCACAGTTGCGGTCCGATAAGGTTTCCTACATGTATACGAATGCCTAATGTCTCCTCAGCAACATTACTGAAATTCAACCACACTAGCAATAAGACACCTGAGGCCACCTTTCCCAAACTAATACAAAGCTGTGTTGTCGTGCTGTGCGAACCAGTAAACGGCACAGCGAAACTGGATACCGGATTAACCTGATGGCGGCTGTAGTTAAGGGGTAATGACAGGTATTTTGGCAAATGTTTATCAACCCCGCGGTCGGTCCGCATCTACGCTCTAGCGTTTTGTAGACCATTCCTCACCATATTCCCGCACAGGATTCAGCTTACCTTTATTCGAGTCGGATTTATCTGCTCTAAGACAGACATACTTGTTTTTAGGATTATTCTTATGGTTTCACATTTGGTTTCGTGAGGAGTTTGCTGCTGTATCACAACTGCGTATTACTCCAGTTTCAATCACGTTGTGGATCTTTTACACCCGTTCGAAGGATTTCTCTTCAGGCGATCTTTCCAACCGACGTCGTTCCTCTCCAATACAATATGCAGTATCTGCCTCGCATTTGTAACACCTTACTTCTTGCCTAGCATTTGGTGTGAATTAGTCGATAACCCAAAGCCGATGGTCCCAGTTTGCGATCTCGCCAACCCATCACACCGACCAGCGCAGCCACATCACACGATAATCTACCCTCATTTGACCTCCCTAACGACATCGACTGGTGCATGCAACTGATCAAAGTCAGAAATGTGCACGACATCAATAGCTCACTCTGTCAGGATACTGTCTATGGTTAATAACGGAGAGCAAAGTAGAGGCGCATCCGTAAGCGCGCCAGGTGAACAGCGTTTGCACTTTGATAAAAGCTATTCAATCAGTCAATCAGTCAAATGGTACGATCAAAATGTGCATATATTTCTCAATGTGAGTTGAACGATTGAAATAGCTGCCGAGACACCCTATGGTTTTATACTGCATGTGCGATCATCCCATTAGTCAGGTGCATGTTTATCTTAGTATAAAAATTTGACCGGTTAGCAGCAATTGAGCTGCAGTTGAACGCTAAGATAATATCACTAGAAGCACGTCTATGTTAGGCAGCGTAATGGTTTTTAAGAAAAGCTATGGTCCAAAGTTTGCTCCGCCCAAATCCAGCTTTGCAAGGTCTACACTGCCGTTATTTTGTCTAACTTTGGAGGATCGCCAGGAAAAAGTAAAATGGGAATCTGACCAGAAACAGTGGCACCAACCAAAACTTGTGATCGATCGAATACTGCCGGCCTTAACAAGTGCTATCATTGACAAGGATGGGGCAGCCAATCACGGGTCTTCTGCATCTGCAACTCAAATGTCTTTGGTCGAGTTCAAGTCCCACAGAAATGCAATCACTTATGCAGAGAGCACAACGGAAGTCACTCGGGATGCGACACTAAGGATCTGTGCTGTTGCAAAACCCGCTAAGCAAACAGAGTGACATTAGCATCCGCCACTAATGTAGAAAACGTTCTACTCTCTGCAAGTACGTTACAACACGGATTCTGTTGGATACACCTCTATCCTGACGTCCAGCGGAGCATGTGACAATGTAGTAGAAGCATTGCACAGGGAGACAAGAAGAACGTCCGGATAGCCAGTTTCATTCATAGTATACCCCAGGTCCCTACTCACGATATTTCAGGAATCAGCAATCAAGACATGGAATGGTGGCGTTTCATTCTAGCACGCGATGCTTGGATAATGCCATTGTTTGATCGCTCAGACATCAAACTTTAAAAGGGCGTGCCAAAACTCCTAACATCAATATTTCAATCAGAGGAGACAGTAACGGAATATTTAGGAAGTCGTCAAAGTAATTTGAAATGCCCTCCATCTGAACTTCGGGAAAATGCTATAAAAGCCATACAAAGACCAGATATCAGGTTATATAATAAAGCAAACCTAGCGGAGATTACCAAGTAGTTTCACTTTACCGATCGGTCACGTGATTACGCCATAGGTGGGGACGAGGAATGGGACGTAGTTTGGACAACTCAAGCTACGGACCATGTTCCATTAGCCTATGAAAGAAACTAATAACGGCTGAACTTAAATCGGTCAGCTTGCTGCAGCATCTGGTCCCTTTAGCCCCTTCGGTGTTTCAGAAAGACGAATAACTGTTGTACATTTATACCATTGCTCAAGACCTTATCAGTAAGCTGGCTGAACTGAAGTAACGCGTAATTTCCAAGCCATGCGATTACATCCATATCACGGAGACATGGCTACACACTGGAATGACGAGCGCTGAAGTCTCACTACCGCGCAAGTCACTCATACACGACGAATAGCTTATACGGAGTGAAGCCGTAATGCAATATTACCGAAGCGACTTACAATACGATGACGTGGTAGATTCAGACCCGGAGTGCCCCCATTTTCTTTGGTGCCACCTGCAGTTAAATGGCAGATAGTTACCTTATGGCTTTGGTTTACTGGCCCTAAAGATCTACACCCGAAAAGGAATGCTACTTTGCTACTGCTCTACGACCCAAGGCAGACATCGAACGAGATAGAACAACATGGGTGCCTGTCGTTTTCGGATATGCTCATCAACAGGCGGAGCGGAGATACAGTGCAGCGTAACATTTACCGCAAGTCAACCTGGATTGGGAGTACCTTCACTTTTCCAGTTTCGCCACGGTCGCATACAAACGCGGCCTAGTGAAAGCGCTGTTCTACAGGGCCAGACGAATCTGTGGTCCCGAAGTGTGAGGAGCTTAAGCAAAGTTTCTGTATAAGACCATACTATCAAAAGGTTGTCACGAAGAGTTCATCCAAGTACACACCAGACCTTTAAGAAGAAATTGCCGGTGCTAACAGCAGAGAAAAAAGCTGTTTATTTGGTTCTGCCGTTCAAGTAAGGGCCGTGTGAGAAATGATATCGGACGCAATCTCACGTCCCCCCTAACGCGCAACTACTCGGCTGCCCAGTTGCTCCTCATGCACATTATCCGGAAACTGGTTTTTCATGAGCGTCAGAACTACTCTTCGAATAGTACGGCCTCTCATGTGGTCTATCAATTCACCTGCGGTTGCGGTAAATTTTACATAGGCAAGACTAATCGTCGGTTGGCACAGAGAATACCTGAGCACTTGCCAAAATGAGTTGAACAAATGATGGCGCAACAAAACGGGGCGCCCCACAAAATGAATAGGAGTCTGTCGTCATTTATCGCGAAGCAACTTTAGACACCTAGTCACCATGTGAATCCGGATAATGAGTTCAAGGGATTATTACCTAACAGGAAGCCGGTAACGTTGATAAGCAGTGCAATGTTGCTATTAGCAGCTTATCAATCTATGCTATGTGCACAGAAACTCTCTTGAGGCCATCAATCAGATTGTGTTGGTCTTGATTTTCTCAGTTAAATTGGTGCGCCAATTTTTTCCATGTATATATTTGTGTCGGTGCTTTTGCTTGTATTGTGTCTGCAAATGATGAGAACAATCAAAATGTTGTCATATCGCAATATATGTCTTCTTTCTGCTTGGATGAATTGGCCGAAGGTGACCCAATGTTTTACATTTCTAAAAAAGTCATTTCGTTATCTGTTATAAATCATTGTCAATTGTTAATTGTCAAACCCTAGGCTGCTATTTTCATAGAGTAGGTTTCTACGATCAAGATCCAACCGTACACGTATCGTAGGTGAATACAATCTCCGGGATCTGGACGGTTTACATTGCTTATTGAGTGTTTCCGGTCCGCTCTGAATTAGCTTGATGCGGGTATTTCAATGTATATTCACGTCTGATCACCACCTATGTCATGGACGACAAAGCAATCATCAGTGATTAACCTTATGCATGAAATGACGAACTCACGATCGATAAGCAAACGTAGAGAGTCAGATAATTCAACTACCAAGAACATGTATTAATCTTACATACTAATCTTGCACATGACTTCAAAATATGGCGGGCGATCTGTAAT